CCTTCACTGGGTCGCTCAGAGCTTTCCTCTCTAGGAAGGGAAGTCAAGCAGAGGACGCATTTGCCCAGAGAGGTGCAGAGTGACAGCCGCTCACTCTGCCTGTGGAACCCAAGTCAGCAACGATGGGCTTCTGGGATCCTAAATCTTGGTACTCTGAAGAAAAAAATCAGGATGCAATCTTTATTTCCTTAGAAGAGCACCTGTCCATTTTTATGTAATTTCTTCTATCAAGTGTGATGTGAATTTCACATTTTATCTCATCAAGTGCTACTTTTAAAATATATTCTTAGTGGTTGTCCTATTTATGTTTCTTCAAATGTATCCTTAATGTATTTCATGAACTATGCTTTAAAAATCTATATTAACTTGTCTAATGCAGAAATTAATATAAATGTGTGGATATAAATCTACAAGTTGTAAAATAAATTTTAAATGAACAGCACCAATTCCCTTATTTCATTTAGTCTGTAATGACATGCTCACACATTCGACTTGGCAGATCCAAAGCATTTGCTTTACCATATATATTTCTACTGGCAAATTGGTATATATTTTATACACTTATTTTCGCTTTGCACATAAATTAATGTTAGTGTCACCATCCTTTGTGTGTGTTCTCTAATAATTTTAGTTTAAAATTTCATTCCTTAACAGATTCTTATATGTTTAACATACATGTAGGAAGTGCTATACTTAAGGCCAATAATTTTCATGTAAATATTAAGTGACTTTTTGCATTGGTATATTTATTTATTTATTTATTTATTTATTTTTGGGAGGGGGAACCAGGGATTGAACTCAGGCCCTTGTGCTTGCCAGGGAAGCACTTATTCCACTGAGCCATCTCCCCGGCTCCTGCATTGGTATATTTATATGATAAAGTATTGAGCATACTTTTTATAATATGTACTGTAATACAGTCAAATGTTTTAAGTAGCTTTTTCCCTGACAAATTTTTACTTTTACTGTGGTGATTATAGATTCTGTAATGGACATGAGGGGTTTTTGTTATATATTAGAAAAGAGAGTCATGATTTTTATATTTCTCTTCATTGTGGTGCATACAGGTTTATATTCAGGTCCTTATACACTTTAAAAACACTTTCTACTTTAGGATGTTTCAAATTCTCCTGCATAATATTGT